GGGTGCGGGGCTATATTTGAATTCAGCCAATAACTCGAACGAAATATAACTTAGCAATTGTTAACTAAAAACAAGAAAAGAAACAGGTGATAAAACAATAATCAAGGGCTCAAAAAAGTGCTGATAAATACAGAAGATTTAATGTTCAATGTAGCATGCCACCATTTATCAGGAAAATAGATCAACTCGCCAGGCTTCATCTCACATTCCAAAGGGAGCTTGTCACGAGGCAACTTTGGATAATCGTATGTGTACCTGTGAAGAATTATGGATACTCGACTCCAGCCAAATTAGATTTCAATTAATTAAAAATGAAGAAACTAACCATTCTAATGTTGTTTTATCTGGATTCCAATCGGGTCTTTCATCATATGGATACAGGAACCATCTCTTCGATCCATGAATCACTTCAGCAAATCCCGGACCGTGAAAATGAAATGGAACTCCAGTTCCAGCACCAGCGATTCCGAATGAAAGCGCAGCTGTATGCCCAGGAAGTTCCCAGTCTGGCTGTTGATATTTTTCGAGTAGAGGTTTCCAGATTCTGTACAAAACCAGAAATAATTTCAGAATGGCCGTCAGAAAAATGCACTTATTAAATCAAGTTGAAATTTGATTTCAACATCAGAAAGTGTCGAAGCAGAAAACTTACTTTTGATCAATGTCTCCAAACAAGTATAACGTCTCGTTTCCAAGCATTTCCAAGTTCTGTGGTTTCATTTTCTCCTCGATGTACCTCCCGAACGTTGTTGGAACCTGAAATTTAGAAGACTCATTTTCTTTCTTTTGTCTGTAATTTACCCTTGTATAACTGTAGGTATTTGCAGAATTCAAAGTTACATCAACATCCCGCCAGACAGAAAGCATTTCATTTTTTTCTGTTAGCTTTTTGAATTCCGCATTGTCGACATTGTAGATGATGACAGGTTCCGAAAACGCATACCTAAAAACCAAGAAGTGATAAAAAATTTCCAAATATACTACCAGCTTACCGGACTCTAGATTATCTTTTTAACACTAACCTTTTTAAAAACTCTTTCTGTGTCAGCTCAGCAGCATCGTGTCTCTCAATGTTGCATTTATCTTTCTGAGGTACGATATCTTTCTCTTCCGTCGTCCACCCACCATCCTGAAAAAAAACAAAAATGTTCTTAATCAAATCGATTTAAGCAGTGCTTACGTTAACTGTTGCCAGCGAAAAAATAGGTAAAAGTGTGAGGAAAAGAAGTTTTTTCATAGAAAATCGATGCGAAGCAGCGAGGATTCTCACCCACTAAAATTCCGCAAGACGCGAAATGCGCCTGCTCGCGGAAACTGCGCCATAGCAAAGAAGAGGGTGTTCAAACTATGACAAAAGTTGACAGCAGGAACCGTATGCTCAGCCAATTTCAATCGAAACAATCGAAGTCTCGGTTTCAGAGCTCGAAAAAAAACGGATGGCATCTTTCTAAATAGACAACTCCCATTATCTTCTCCATCGTTTTCTGGAAGATAATGATCTCCTTATACTAGAAGATGCTTCAAAAGATGAAAAGGTTTTTGGATATAATCATTAAGTAAAGTCAAACAATATGAAAATATCGAAGTCACACTATTATTCTTGTACAAAAAAAGAGAAATGGAAGAGAAAAGCTTGTGGGCGTGGCTAAGGACCCAGGAATGAAAACCACCATAACCTAAAATTTTCGGTTCATTTTTAAAGATTTCAGTTGCTTTTCAGCTCCGATTTTTGTATATATCAGCATAGTGTGAAATCATCGAACTGGGTTTAAATGCCGAGTCTACAAGAACGTGTATGACCTAAAATAGTCTAAGCTCATTTTCATAATCAACTCTACGGAAGTGCATGAACTTGCTAGAATCAGAGTTTCCAGGCTTTTTTTTCTCGTTCAGAAAATGAAAGCCCTTTTGATGTATCCCTGTAGTATTGACCCAACGAATTCTAACGACTCTGAAAAAAGGGAAATTCTAGTACATGGGGCACTTCTAGAAAATGATCTTCGAGCAAATGACTATGAGCCCTAGGAACGGGTATAACCTACAAAAGTCCAAGCTCCTTTTCGTAGCGAGTTCTACAGAAACGCATGGAGCAACACGTATCAGAGGAAACCTAGTTTTTTTAAAAGGGGAAATACATTGAATATACCCCTCATAACCATCTCCCTTTTTCGTCATATTGAGTGACAAGAGACATTCCGCAAGAACCGAAAAAATGTTTTAAAAAACAGAAAAAGAAAACAAAAAGGCGAACATTTTCGACATATTCTCCTTCAAAAACGTCTTCGTCTTTCCTTTTCACCCTAAAAAAGCATACGCTTCGACAAACTTTTTCTTCTTTTTTTTTCCTTTTTGCCGTTATGAGTTATGACTCTTAGAATGGAAAAAGAGTAAAAAGTAGAAAAAACTAGGAGAAATGTGTGCCGCCTATTTGTCTTTGTTTTTGTTCACTTCTGACCTTTTCTCTCTATTCTCCAACTCGCACAGATTGACTTCTAGTTAGGTTTTGACTCCGCTCCAATATTCATGAAACTTTTTTCATGTTTTGTTTGCTGTCGAAGAAGTCTATCTCTGATTCATTCTAGTTGTCAATTTCAATTCTAATTTTTCATGTTTAAAACTCTGTCATGACTCCTTAAGGAATAATTATTATACAGCCACATATCCTTCTAAATTGATTGTTCTGAGAATACAGATACAGAATTTCAGACAAAATTGAAAAGTTGAGCTCACAAGGCGCAAAGTTCACTTTTTAGGCCGCTTCAAAAATATGGGATCTCCTGAAAAAAAAAATATTAAAAATCTCAAGTTTTTGTGAAAAACAAATTGAACAACTTCCGCTGAAAATCGTTAGAGTAGTCTCAAAGCAGCAACTGTTGAAAGTATTTTTGAATTGTTGGTTTCTCAAAGCTGCAGATAAAATTTTTGAGCATGAAACCGAGTAATTCTAAAAAATCAAAACCACCGAATTTCAAAATCAGTCTTGGGATTTTTTCAGCTAAAAGCTTTGCTTCAATTACAAACAACAACACAAAATAGTATAAAAACCATTAGTAGCCCATCCAGATTACTGTAAAAAAACCTTTCGTATCAATTTCAACTCAACAGCCAGTAAAGCAACGATGTTGATGATTAACTCCAAAATCCCTAAAATGACCAAAAGGATTGAGAATGAATTTTTGAAACACTCAATTTAGGAATCAGTATGAAGTGTCAAAAAATGTTGATTCAAGACTATTTCAACAGATTTTCAAAATTTTTTGTGTTTTTTACCTAAAAAATTAATTTTTTTCAGGGATTAGTAGCTAATGGCTGAGAGGGTAAACTGCCGGTAAACTGGAGATTCACTTGTCTCCAGCACCGTCATCATTTAACCGATCCTCAACAATATGGTGGTCCAAAATAGGTTATTTAAAGACGTGCCTTACAATCATAGAACCCAAAATTCAAGTAAGGGCTATTCTGTGAATCAAGCGAAAATTTAGGTTTTCTTTATTCCATTAAGATGGCGTCGAATTAAAGGTTTTATTACAGACGGCATTCTAATTTATGTGAGTATATTAAAATTTAATATATCTCTTCTCCTCGCTATATCGATTGCGAAAGCATGTGTGTTGAAAAAGATTTAAAGAAAAACGCTGAGAAAAACATGCGATACATATATAATTTGATTACTTCAGGCATCATCATTTCTTCTTCATAATCGTTTTTTATTTCTTCCATCTTATAAATTTGCTTTTTTTCTCAGGGCTCAACATCATCACTGAAATGTAGACTAGATAATTTTAGCTTCACAGACAGTAGTGAATGTTATGATTATCCCCCCCCCCCCTCTAATGATCAAAACACAAGAAAAGTCCAGTTTGTTGAATAAAAAACATTCAAAAGTTTTTCCGTCGTCGTCATAAAATTTATAGTTTTGAGTTTTAGATTTTTTGTTTCTCTTGAAAGTATACTCCGGATATTTTTACTTTTTAAAGGCTCAGAAGTTGGAATAAAAAAAACTTCATCAGAATCTTGTAGACTTAAAAAGTTTATATTCAGAAACTCTTCAACGCTCCAAAAAATCTTCAACGCCAAGATTTTTTATTTTCCAGTTTCACTACATAATCTAACTCCTAAAATTAAAGTTTCTAAAATTAATATACCGTAAAACCTGTAACAGAAGGGCACCCCTAACTTTGAGCCAATTTATCTCGGTTCCTGTAAAAGATATTCAAAAGCTGTCAACTGATGAATTGTTTATCATAACATCAGAAGTGTCGGAGCTCTTCCATTACAAGGCTTACGGTATTTTTTCTTTGCAAGTAAATTTTTTTTTCTTTGCAAGGAACACAAAAATCCGTTACTTCTTCATGAAAGTTTTCATATGAACTCTTCGTATTTGGGAAATTTGGGTGAAAAAGTTCTCGGTTATTTCCGAGATTCATTTTCCTATATCTTCTATGTTCCCAAGGGACAATATTCACTCATTTCTTCTCCAATTCCCTCTCACTTTTCGAGTGCTTTCTATGAGTAGTCAATGTTCTTCTCAGTACAAAATATATTTGGTCTTCTTCCAAATATAGAAAGAAATTGGAGTAGAAATTCAATTTACACTTGTCTCCACATCCCACCTCTATATTGGTTTCCTATCTAGAGCCTTCAATACTTGTTTCATCCTATTCCTAAAACGACCCAATTCGTACTTCTCTACACTTTTTATATTTTTAAAAAAACATTATGGATTTCCATAACTTCAGGCATTCAATGCGGAAGCCCAGACGTCGAAGGATTACTGTAAATTGGTTCTCTTTCTGAGACATTCCTTCCTGGCACAATGACGTCAACCACTGCGAAGTTGTTGGGTGAGTACTTGAGAATGAGTATCAGGAATTTATCTAAATACGGTAAAACCCCTATTAGAAGGGCCGTTCCTTTCAGGAGGTACCTCGGGAGAGCTCTCCTATTCTTCCGAAAATTTTCATAACAAATCTGTGAACTTTCGTTTACAATTCATGAACATCGATCAATTATATCAATTGAGCAAGTTTTCGAGCAAAAACTGTATTCTAACAAAATTCTGTGAAATTTCTGTATTTCCGGAATATATTTTTTTGTTGTTGAAGGGGCCTCACTATTACAGGGATCCCTTTTTGGAGGGCTCTTCTATTAGAGGGGCCCTTCTAATGCAGGTTTTACGATAAGTGGCAGGGATGTTTGGAACAGAACTCGGAATTCCGAAAATTCCTAAAATTCTGACCGGAATAATTCCTAGCAAAAATTTTGAATGAAATTCCGGTCGAAATATTTCCGCATTTTTTTTGAGAATTTAGATTTTTTTGTACGGTATGTCGTGAAAAGTTTGCTTGTGAGCACAATTCCTTCCAATTTTCTTTGCGAAATATTTTTGTCAATTTTTCAACAGTTTTCGGAGTTTTTGTAATCGGAAAATGGAGTTTCCACTTTAAAATTTGAATTTCGAAAAAAATCCGAAAAATCAAAAACAGAAATCTTGAAACATCCCTGGTAATTGTTTATTACTCTTCTAGTCAGTATCACGAAGAAAGTTTCAAAAAATATGAGAATTACTTATGAAAGTTTTTTTGCAATATACGTACTGTGATCCTAAAATCACACTACTTTTGAATTCACATCATAGAGTTCTATCAGTTTTCTGAACTCTGATTTTTGTGTATATTTCTCCTAGACACCCCAAATTGGTTCCCTTTCCCTGAACAGCCAAATTGCCCAAGCTAATATTAATAGTAAGATCAATAAATGAAAAAGTAATAAACTCCATGAGCCATATTTACTAGTTTTATAACCGCAATTACATTTTCAAATCTTAGTTTTATTATATCAAGCTTTCCTGAAATTTTATTCAATAAAAAGTAATAAAAATAGAGCATTTATAAATGCTTTTCATTCTCAAGCTCATTGTTATTTGAATATTTCAACTCCTCCTCTTTTTCAATTCCAATTTCCGTTAATTTTCGCGGAAAATTTAGAAAACAAAAATGGGAGTCAAATTGCGTGTCTATTCCATTTTTCCATTCTAAATTCTTATAGAGATGCATTGGTTAATTTCGTATCGTTAGCCCATTTGACCCAATTCCGATTGACTCTAAAAAACTGAAAATGGAGCTAGGAGAACACAAAAAAAACCCGTCAGATTCAGAAGACATCCGGCGCTGTTTCTTCTTTGTTTTTTTTCCTTCTCATTTTTTTTTCTTGATTGAAAGCTCTTATCCGACCCAATGAAATATATATATATATACTATACGCTTTGCCTTTCAATTTTCAACATATTTTCCTTTCTCATAAATTGCTCTGAAATGTATCTTTTTTCATCTTTTCCATCTATTTCTCAGCCTTTCGTTCCATCTTCTCCTCCTATGAGATTATTAGATTTCTCCGCCTCTTCTTCTCCTCCCTCTTCTTCTTTTTTGCCCCTTCTTGTCCATCTCATCTGAATCTCTGATTCTTATTCTGAAGGAGAATAAGAAGGATAAGAAAAAGAAAAAGAAGAAGAAGAAATAGAAGTAGAAGTTTTCTTTTTCGTACTCTTTTCTATTCAAGTTACTATTTTTGTAGAGTGAGAACTGACCGGAGCTTGATATTTCGGATCCTGAATAATCGGAAAAAGTGAACCTGAGTTATCCATCATAGTGAGAGAATCTTAAATTTGACAATTTTGTAAAAATTACTGATTTTCACAAGATAGGATTCCGTAGAACCTGTATTAGAAGGGCCTGATCTTCTATTGTTTCAATGTACCTCCGGATAGCTTTTCAATTAAAGGCTCTTCCATTTTTTTCTAGTTTTAACATTTTTATTGCTTAAAAAGAGATTGTATTCCAAAGACGTCATGTTTCAAAAATCAAAAAATTAACACCTGAAAATAGGCATTTAAAATACTGACTAGGGAAGGCTCCAACTCGGGTGTGGCGATACAGGTGGTAACCTATATCATCTGAAAGCTGACAGTTTGCTGATTCCAAATCTGTTTTTTTAGTCAGATACAGTCACCGGAAAAAAAACGAAGAAAAAATTCATTAAAAGTTCAGCAGCTCGAGGGAGTCGAACCAGAGAGGCATCATTTGATATTCCTCCTCACTAACCATTTGACCACGCTTCCACATTTTTTCAACGCTTCATAGCTTAAATACGTGAAAAAGGAAAATGAAATTAAAAATCCACTTCATTTTCCGAAACTTTCGACCCAATTTTCTCGAAAACTACCGCGACAATGCACTTTTTGAAAACAGATTTGGAATCAAGAAAATTTCAGCTTTCAGATGATATAGGTCACCACCAGTATCGCCACACCCAAGCTGGGGCCTTCTCTAGTGAGGTTTAGAATGTCACAAAAGTGGGACCCACTTTAATTCTTGATTTTTCCTATTTTTAGGTGGGCTGTTTCCAAGTTTGGAGGATTACAAATCACAGATTGAGCTGAAAAAGTTCCGAATTCGATATCTACCAAAGACATTATCTTTTTTGCTCTGTAAAACGGTCTTTTCAGATTTTGAAAAAGGTCTTTTCAGATTTAGATTTTTGTAAATTGATTCTCCATGTTTATATAGGTTAATTGTAATTAGACCTAAAAATAAACATTCCACTTAATTTTTTTTTGCATCTTCTCGGCCAGAAACAATATCCATAAGGAGAGTAACCAAGCAGGCGATGGAAATGAGCAGCTTAACTTTACTATCAACTCTGAAATGCTTACTCCAGTTTGTGAATAGATAGCCCCCCTTTTACCATTTCTGATTAGCAACTACCAAGAAAACAAAAGAAAACAAAGTATCCGTCCCGAGTGTACATTTGAACCTACACTCTCCTAACACATTTATTTTCTTCTCTTCCAGCTTCTTCACATTATCTTAAGCCATTCGAAAACACTCTAAAGCAAACTTCTTCTTTTTTTCGGATTCCTCCTCACATCGTTTGCATCTCATTAAGCATTTCGTCGTCTTCGGTTGTAGAAGAAGAAGGACCGCCCGAAGGCAAAAAGAAGAAGCACACACGTGTGTTAGTGTGTACACGTCGTCAACACTTGTAGAACTCTTCTTCATTCAGAAGACGTTGTATCTCTCTCTCTCTCTTCTAGAAGAGAGAGAGAGAGACTCTTTTCTTTTTTCATCAGATGAGCATCACCAATTAGAGTCCTCGTCTCTCTCTCTCTCTCTCTTTCTCTCTTTATTTTTTCTCTTCCTTTTTTCCTTCTGTTGGTCCGTTTTCTCTTTATTTGCTTTTTCCTTGTTCCTCTTTTACCCTTACTTTTTTCCATCTATTGTTCTCCATTCGCAAATTTCAAAGGTCATTTTAATAGAAGATCTAGATGATGAGCTACTTCTTCTTCTTCTTCCTATTCCAACTCTTCCAAAGAAAAAACTTTTAATGGAGCGCTTTAATGAAAACGGAAGTGGGTGTGTGCAAATTGTAACTCGACACTTTCAGCATCTATTTCTTTTTTTCTTCTTCTTCTACCCTTGTTTCTTTAGATAGACTTTTAAGAAAGTTTCTAAATTCTGGAAGACTATGAATTCAATTTCAATTGTTTTAGGTATTTATACTGTATGTATCTTGTTTTTAATGAACTTCATTCAAATAATACCACCACCAAGAGTACGGAGCTTAGGTGCGGTAGAGGAATCCTTAATTTTCTGGCCTATTTTTTTCCATTTCATCAATTCTTAATTTTTTTTATCACAGAAAGCCAAAAAGTGCAAAGATGAAAAAAAACTGATGAAAATTATCGGAAAATCGAAAAAAATAGGCTAGAAAATAATTATGAAAATGAAATTAGACTGAAATTTGACCAGAGTATTCGTTACGGTGTTTTCTCTATTCGACAGGAACATCGTTAAATTGGCTCAGATTAAATTTATATTTGAACCTGTACTCCAAAAAAGACAACAAAAACAACAGCTCATCTGTTTTGTAAATCGTCTTTGGGGTTTTGTTGGTCACTACATAAAATCACTAAAAAAAGGAAAAAAAACTGGCTGTGGTCCACAAACGAGTAAAAGAGATTAGGGTGTCCGCTGGCACCACAGAAATCCTTTCGAATGTACTGAAAAAGGCAAAGAAACGAAGAATGGTCGTTTTCCTTTTCTTCTTCTTCTTCTGTTTCTGGAAGAAGAAGAAAGAACTTTATTCGATTTTAATTGGAAGTGGTTTTTTGGAGGTAGCGGGAAACGAGCATATTTTTGCATCCCCTGAGAAAGGATATCTTTTTGATTCTTCACTTTTTCTTCTTCTTTCTTGCAGAAACCATCACACTTAACAAGCCCCAAGAGAGTATTCAAAACGAACGTATTCTCTATTTTAGTTATTTCGTTTGAAGGTGTAGAATTCTCATTGAACTTTTCGTTTTAGTGAATTTCTAGTGTTTTCAGTTTCCGCATACTCTAATAGAATGCACAAAGCCGTCAACTTTGAACCAATTTATCTCGTTTCCTGTAAAAGATTTCAAACAGAGGTCAACTAACAAAATGTTAATCATAATATGAAAAATGTTTTGTAAGTTTATTTCTCTTTGATATCTTTCACAGGAACTGAGATACATTAGCTCAAAGTTTAAAGTTAAGGGTGGCGTTCTATTAAAGTGTTTCCGCATAGTTTCTAAAAATTCTGAATTCCCCAACCCCAAATAAATTTAGCTCATCCCTCCTGTTGACCCTTTCCTATCCGTATAACTGAATCCAATTTCATTTTCAGGTCTGTCAGCGTGCCGTGCGGCCGCATTGTCGACGACAATGCTGACGCGTCGCAAATCGTCCATAGATGGCACAAAATCAGAAAGAAGCCGTCGACGAGGCGAATCGATCGGCGGCGCATTCACTGATATGATCAATCTGGAGCCAACGGCTATTATTAATAAATCTACAGGTGAGAATCTAGAATACTCAACTGTGGCATTTGATTGGGTGGTTTCAATAACTATCCAAAACTTAGATTATTTTGCCAGTTGACACGTTTTTGATATCTTGCATAGGAGTCAAGTAAATCTAGCTCAAACTCGTCTGTGCGGGGACCCTTCCATTACAGGTTTTACGGTAACCTTATAGAAAATTATTAGATTTTGTTTATAGTACTGTAAAAATGTATGTACCTTTAAAACGGTTAGTATTAGATACTCAGGTAATTCTCAGGGAGTTACCCGTCAAAAACGGGAGTTACCCGTGCGATTGGGTAACTCCCAAACTTCACGGGTCACTCCCACATACTCTCCGATTAAGCCCTAAAGCTCCCCCCCCGCCCAACGTGGCGAATTGTAGTTGTTATTCTTGTTTCTTTTGATGGCCCCTTTCCAGATAACATTGAACGAACTGAAATATGATTTTGTTTTTTTGTTTCTGACAATTTCAAAATTTAATTTCTTTAAATTTTCAATTCTCATTTTCAGAATATGAAAATTTCATAAATTCTAAACGGTAAATCTTTTTTAAGCTTAAAAAAATTTGCGGAGTTTTTG